CGAAATCGAGCGGCCAGGAACGTGCGAATCGGGTGGCTGGCATACGACTGCCGACTGGCCAAAGCGTTCAGCCGGTGCGCCCGCGCCTATCACTGCCCTAAAATAAAACAGGGAAGGCGTTGCCACCAGCCACACAAGTGAGCGTAGCATTACTTTGGGGCTAGTCCAGCGTGCCGCTTGTCTTGTCTGCTCATACCAGTCCGTTTCTTCAGCCTGCCTTCATGCACTCTCCCCTGCCCAACGACCCCCAAGACTCATCCGAGACGCCTGGCGCGCGCGCACCGGCGACGTGCCACAACAACCCTACGCGCTATACCCTCTTCCCCGGAAAATCTCTCCCCTATATATGCTCGCTGGAACGGTGGCGAGTCTGGACACCCATTAACACACAGCGAGCTCACCTCACAGAGCTCCAAGCTCGCTAGCGCGTGTCCGTTCACCCTAGGCCAAGAACAAATGGGCATCCAGGCGAGCCGCGCCCTCGCCGCGCTCCTCCTGGCGGCGCTGGCCGCCGCGACCCTGCGGGGAGCCTCGGCGGTGGTGCAGTGCGGCCAGGTGACCCAGCTGATGGCGCCCTGCATGCCGTACCTCAGCGGCGCCCCCGGGATGACGCCCTACGGCATCTGCTGCAACAGCCTCGGGGTGCTCAACCAACTCGCCGCCAGCACCGCCGACCGCGTGGCCGCCTGCAACTGCGTCAAGGCGGCCGCCAGCGGCGGGTTCCCGGCCGTTGACTTCAGCCGCGCCGCGGCGCTCCCCGCCGCCTGCGGGCTCGCCATCAACTTCGCCGTCACCCCCAACATGGACTGCAACCAGTACGTATCACTACGCATGCATGCACTGCCGCACGCGTACCGATATTTCATGAATTCCATGGATGCAAACATGGAAAGTATGCCTAGGTTCTTCTTCAACTGATCTTCATTTTTTGATTCGATCGTCGTTGCATTCATGCAGGGTTACGGATGAACCCTGAGATGGGACTGGAGAACCACACGCACGCAACGTACACAGAGGAAAAGCTTAGGTGTTGGACTGACCAAAATAAAATCAGCAAAGATAGTATAAGATTGAATCAAGGGCCTTCAATCATGCATGTGCCGAACTGTTTAGTTGATTAATATATAATTCAATTGTTATCCTGATGTATTATTTCTGTGCTTATATTGGAATAAAGTACATGCATGCTAGTATGTTAGTAAAAGACTTGCATCTTTAATTAACGTTGACTTCATCAGCTTGGGCATCCTCGCCTTGCTACATCGTGTTGGATATGTTGCATGGTCCTTTCCACCTTGTACCGAACCTCTATCGTAGTTTGCTTCAGTGCACTGCGTCGCCTCGGCTGGTCCTTGTTGCGACCACTAGTACCTTTCGGACTCCGTCTAAGGCCGGACGACAGCCTTCCTTCTAAATTTTTTTATTTTGATGCATCCATGCTCTCCCTGGCATACATACGACGAATAACCAGCCAAACTTACGTGTGAGCATAGCGTGAACCTTTTCGCTTTTCGGTTCAAATAACCAACCAATATATTAATAATAAAACGGATACATGTATTTTAGCTCTGTAACTGACAACGCCCCACCTCAGTGCTCAAGATATACCAATCAACAGCTACAATAATTTAAAACGACCTAACGACAGACTTCAGTTCTCTTGAAAATAACTTTTCAGAGTAAAACGTAGCAAAAATGCTCTTTGGAGGCCGAGCACCATGGGGCTCGCTATCATGGGCGTCGGTCTTCACATGGATCAGACGCAGCTTCGTACTTGTCTCATGTATTCCACCCGCCAGGCTTTTACACCGCACCGTATTCCCATTTATTATGCACAGTGGCAGCACATGTAAACCAGCGGCCAGACCAGCGCACGAACAAGTGCCATCATCGCATCGTGCACGGCAACATAGACGAACACGGGTAGGATTCTGGCAGATTGTAGCGACCGGTTTTACTCGCTGATGCATCCCATGCGCGGAGCCATCGCACATGTTCGCGTGCTGCTTGGTGAACGTATATGCCTCATCAAATCTTACACGCAGCTACGTTTAAGCGAGTACTGGGAGAGATCACATCGCATGGCCCCTCCGGCCAGTTAACAAACCAGCTGCGCCACTTCGTCCAACTTGGTGTATCAAATTTCTAGGACAAATCGTCATTGTGTAACCACTAAACACCAACATAATATGCCCATTTTAGCACACGAAATCACCTGAAAAACATCATTTTCATTTTTCTGAGTCGTGAAAACATCATTTCTCGCTTGACAGGTTTGAAAGAAAAGAGAAATTGTGCAATTCAAATTGTTTTGACTGTCACGTCTCGGAATGACATTTTCCCTTCACATGCATTAAGTGTGTACATTTATTTTCCAAATTAATTTTGCATCACAATTTTTTGTTAGAAAATTCTGATGACAAATTTATTTTCGAACATGTAAGACACAACCACCCCTCATGCGACACACAAATAAGTGTACTCAGGCCAACCTCACACGGATATTGTAACTCGTTCAGTTTTTGATCAATTTTTCACACGCCATCAAAAATGCATTCAGATTATTTGGCATTTTACACTAGCGTTTTATTTTAAAAACAATCGCTCCCCTAGCACTAATAATCCCGTTACCAATTGAACATATACCATAACTGCAGCTCACATCGACCCCATGGCAGTCAAGTGTACTAATCGACATTTTCCAGGTGTGAAAATTCCAAGAAATCCCCATATCTTATAGAGAGAATTTCTTATTTGGCCTTTTCTTAAATTTTGGTTCCCTTTTTGGCCCTAAAATTTTATTTGTTCCTTCTTTGACACCCTAATTTTATTTTCTTCCTTCCATGACACTTCCGTCGTTCTTTGTCGTTAACACCGTCAACTATGACAGGAAAAGTCGTTTTTACCCCTTCTTTATAGCACGCTA